GTGTTCTCTCTCTCTCTCTCTCTCTCTCTCTCTCTCTCTCTCTCTCTCTCTCTCTCTCTCTATCTATCTATCTATCTGTTCGGACGAAACGTAAGGAGAGGGCACAATGGATAATTGGCCAAAATCAGTGAAGATCCGAAAAACAAAATTGACATCACGCCTAAAGTAGGAGTTGTAGTAACAACGAAGAATCCCGTTCGCATCTTGAAGCCCGGTGTCATCGACGGTAGGCGATACTGATCACAGGAAGTATTCGTTCTCTCTTCCGAAAATCGACGTTTGATCGATGGCCTGTTCTCCTCCATCTCCAGCGCATCATCCCTATGGAATCCCATATGTTCCTCCCAAGTTTGTTGCAGGCTGCCCCTGATAGCCAAGAGTGGGATAATCCCACAACGCCTCCGTATCAAGGACCGAGGGGCGATGCCCCCGATCAGTCTTATCATGTATGCTGCCGAGCCTAAATTTCGCCAGTCAGTCACCCACACATCAATGCCTTGCCCTCCTCAACTCAACTGGAGTGCTCACAAATAGTCCTTGTCAACTGAAACCGGTGGTAGGCAGGGACCGACCAGGTCCCAGCAGCGTGCCCCACTAACGCCCCAACGCTCTTCCCTGCGACACGATAGACTTCCCGACGTCAATTTTTAGCAACTCAAGTCAACAATTATCGTCCACCCTACCATGAGCCTCCAATGCACAAACGCGACCAGGAGCATCACGTTAGCGCTAACGCCGCGCCTGGGAGTTGAACCCGAATTCCTAACCAAGCTTGCTTCTAACATCAAAAATAGTTTTTCAATTATTATGATAATATTATCTTTTTATTAGTTTTTTATTTTTTTACTCGAGTTTGGTTGGGAATTCGGGGATGACTCCCACACAAAAGTGGTTTCAACTTGTTTGTGTTATGATTCTGCATGATATGTATATGTTACATAATTTTGTTTTCATTTTTTTTTTTTTTAATTTTTTTTTTTATGTTTTTTTTTTTTTTTTTTTTTTTTTTTTTTTTTTTTTTTTTAAGGTCTATGTCCTTGAGGTATTATCATCGGACTAACCAGCCCGGAAATTCCTCGTCGGGAATTTCTCACAAACAACCCGGAAGATATGACCAATAACCCTAATTGGGTTGTTGCTGGAAAACGGGTTCAGCGTCCCTTCCTTTCACTGGTCTATCCTCATCTTCCAAAATCCCTTGAAGCTCAAAATAATTTTGTGTTGAGACGAGGCACTATCGTACTTGGTGCTAAAATTCAGTCTGTGCCAACTAGCAGATCATTGCAGTGTCGCTCATTGATACTAAACTACTATCGAATCGTGCTCAATTGCCTAAATCGGCAATGTTACTTTCCGCCCAGGACCCAAGGAAACGACTAAGCCTTTGGAAACTAAAACTACCTATAGGCTCAATGACCACGAGTTGGGAAAAAAGAATAAATAGTAGGGTTACCCTCCCATCATCACTGTCCAAAACAATGTAAAGAGCCTTTTGTTGCCTAGACGGGTTTCCTACCACGCACCCAATGGATATAACTCTAATTTGCTTTTTACCGAGTCTCTCATACCTTCCAACCATTAGCGTTCATATTGCTCCTTTATGCTAATTACTCTTATAATGACTACAATCGACTAACGCTCCCACCACTGACGATGACACTCACACTGCCCTCGTAGTGCTGCTGTCGGTAATCAAAATGTGACATCGCAGTTCATATTATTGCTAAGTGGCAAACCTACGTTATGTTTTTCAAAAACTTTATCAACCTTGCCAACTACAACACTAAAATGCAAAAATGTAACTCCCCAACAAAATGGGCCAAATAAATCTACTCTTTAGAAACCAA